TTTTTATTTCATTCTCGCTTTATATCGTTCAACCCCATTCGTCACCCTCTCGTTGTTATCCTCCAAGAAGGAAGAAGAAAAAAAAAGAGATGACAAAAAAGGAAGAATAAAATAATATTTACGTTTATTTATAAAAAAAATAATTTAAAATATTTGTTTTTAAAAAAATAATATTTTAAATAGTAAAAAGAAAATTACAAATAGCTTTTTTATTTTTACATGCTGGGATCTCTTCTCATTCCCCCTGAGACATATTTCTTCTCATTCGCATGGCCAATTTCTCTTGAGCTCGAAACCAAACCAGAATGTGGCAGTTGCAATAGTTGTGTTAAATAGCCAAATTTTGCTGCAGAAAAAGTCGTAGGCTCACTGTGCTTTGTTTTTCCTCATGAAAACACCATGCCAAAATTAATAAGCAAATGATAGATCATATATCGTGCAACGTTATTTATTTATCAGACTTATACTATCTGCCTCTAACAATTCAGGTAACCTCGATAATCATTTATCAGCTGCTGGTCCTCCGTACATGTAATACATGCCTTCAGTAGATATATCCCATGAACAGATAAAGACGCTGAACTGAATCCCTGCACGCTCTTCTTTCAAATGCAGAACATTTTCATCTGCAGAACTTTATAGAAAGAATTCCATAAGTCATTTCTCATAAGAAATGATAAAGCATAAAGTAACCTTTTGATAATTCCATTTGAGCCTAATCATCTTAACTAACCCTGAACTTAGCCTCCTCTTGCCGGTCGATGTATGCAAGAAGTTCCTCTTGCTTCATAAGAACTTCATGCAAAGCCTACATAGAGCAGACAAAAAGTCAGACTAGTGTTTAAAAAAAGAAGCTTATTTCCACATGGATGTACAGAAATCAAACTTGCAAATTTATGGAACAAAACTATGAAGTATCTTAACATACGGAGCTCCATGTAAGGTGCTACCAAGGAAAACAGACACACGCACAATGAAGTGATATGACAAAATATCTATATGTCAATCGCGTGGATGAAGGTGGTCACTTAGACAAATTGATGTTTCACCAAGTATACTGCATTCGAGTTATGACAATAATCAAGCTGCATGGATCATTACTAGATGATAAGAAAATAGCACTGATCACAAATATCATTTGTGCAACAGGATAGCAGACTTTATATGCATGTATTTTGCAAATAAGAAATTAGATCTGCTGTTAGCCTGTTCTTGAAGAGTTAACAAGATGAAAAACAAATACCTTTTTGGTCACAATCAGCTCAACTTCTAATGCATCGACACGATGAACAGCAGCATTAAGTAACTCCTCTTTCTCCAAAGGCATTTCAGATGGCCTTGATTGAAGAGCATTCACCTTTTCTTCCAAGTCACTGAGCCTTTTTAGAAGGCATGAAAAGTCAGATTCTGTAAAACCAGGAGCAGGTGGGGGGTGGAATTCCTCTTGAAGCAATGGTTCCACAGAAACTGAAGAATCATTTTGACTTGTCCCAGAAGTTTTCTCCTGGATTCTCCTCTTCACATGGCTAGTTAATGAACAAATAAGTGCAGCAAGGGTCATGAAGAATGTTATCAACACTGCTATTGTTTGAGCTCGGATTCCACTGGATGAGTTACGAGTTTCCAATGTAGAGTACTCCCCTGCATCTAAAATCACAAGAATTTACAGAACCCTTCCATCACCTTAGAGAACAAGGGAAAATTTTGGATCATAGATCAAGATTCAATTGTGCATCAGGAACAATGGCAAAATACATTGTCCATTATGCCACTCAAGTAAAAAGAGCGCAAAAAAGACATCTACAAGTTAACTACAAGTCAAGTTGGAAGTAGTTTAAAGATATAGGCATGAAATTGCAAGATTTGATCTTTCAAACCAGAAGGTTAGAAAACGTTGCAGATCAAACAGAAGATTAGTATTTGTGGGTTAGTTAAAATATGCAAACATATAGCAGATAATCATATGGAGTGGATCTATTCACTAGGAACCAAATTGTCACCTCATAAATATTTGTCCAAATTTTCTAGATTGAAACCTTACCTATCATCAAAAGGGTTAAATTTTACTAAGAGCAAGAAAATGAGTATTAGCAATTCCTACAATAAGCCATAAGGTCCAAATGTCTAGGGTCTACTGCATGGATATTTTCCACTATTGAGATCCGTCAAAGGCAATCTCATTAAATTATGAGGCATCAAGTTGCCTCTAATTAGATCTAACAAAATTTTCTTTCTCTGCCTCACCAAAAATCACTATATGTTAATTCACTCACCTCATTTGATATTTTATTTTCCCAACAGCTTTATAATTATGGTAATGCTGAGAAAATAAAAGAAAATGACAGCCAGAAAACAACAAAACTTGGCATAAGAAATTTCAGCATTGCCTTCAATTAGTATATGATGGTTTAAATACATTTGTAGAAAATGGAAAACTTGTCACATGAAATTGCTACAGCATATTCACAAACCATTTAATGCATCAAGGCTTTGATTATAGACTTCTCTATTCCATCCGGCATCCACGGTTTTATCTACCATGGGAATATGCTCATCACACTGTGGAAAGCCAGCAGAAAACCTGTCTGCTTTCACAATCTTTACCTGTAAGAGGAGAAAGAAAAAGCATAAATGTTGTTATCATGTTCTTACAATCACAGTGAGACTTCGTCTCATAATATACTGTTGTACAGCCACTGCTGATCATTTGGTCAGATAGTTGCACACTTGCACATACAAACTTGGCCAAGATTCTTAGCACATATATGAGGGGATCAAAACTTATATATAAAACTATTCTTCCATTAGGCTTCACTTGAAGCAGCCCATAATCTAAAGATGCAACATTGTGGATAAACAAATGCCAATCTGCACATGTGGAGCATATGCGCCTCACAATCTCGTACCAAAGAGGGTCATGTCAGGCTGCTTTGGGCTGAACTGCACTTCTGCCCTGAGACGTAGCCAGACGCAAACCACCAGATGGGCGGCCTCCACCGCAGGCTCCAGGTCGAACTAGCTGTGGACTACGCCGACTGAGTCCAGTTGCATGCAGCTGGTCTGATCGAGTCCAGTTGGTAGTCTGACTCAGGTTAGACCCAACCCAACCAACACTTAAACCCCCAATTCAAATCAGTTTCGACCCCCCTTTTTTCCAAATAAAAGTTAAAATAACTGGTAATTGAAAGTATTTAAACTTAAACATGAAATTCTCATGAACATATCACATCAAGTAACTAATTCAAGCAAATCAATTATCATGTCACAATAATTAAATTACTTTAAAAAATTATCATGGCATAAATTCATGATGCATAATAAATCATTTAAGATCGCATGTCACCATAATTAAAATAACTAAAATGAATAATGGCATAATTTCATGAAATAAAATAAGATGATTTAATCAACCCGATCATCAACTTACAATTACTAAATTAATTCAAGAAATCATTATCATGGCATAATCTCATAAAATCCAAAAAAATGATTACTAAACTAAATAAGCAATAAGAACTTATACTATCCATTGTTTTTTTAAAATAGTAAATAAATAATAATAATTCAAAGAAAGGTGGAGGACCTACCTTTTTAAAGATGGAGGTCCCTCTCCCACAAATTGCTGTCAGGCTCCTCATGAACCCTAGTGAAGAACATAGGAGTCTGACCAGCTTTATATAGGAGAGGAGATTCCTCTTGTGGAAAGAAAAGAAAATTGATTTTTCAGATTAATTAATTTATTTATTTGTTAAATTCCTAACTTGCCCAAACTGTTAAAGAAATTGATTTAATTATTTTCTTAATCATATTATACAAAGAAGGAAATGCTTATTCCAAATAAAGCAAAACACTAATTACAGAAATTTTAATTTTGGAAAGAGGAGAAAAAACTTGGTGATTACAATCAGTAATTCCACAACAGCTAGAATTAAGACTTCACCTTGTTATTAAACTGATGAAAGAGGAAGATATAAGGCCAACTACAGCTAAAACAAATACAAATATACCTCTTCATGTACGGGGGTCAAATGAGGATATGATAGATAACTCCTTGCTGCCTTTGGAGAAGCACCATCTTCAGCTTCTGAGCCAGACTCAGCAGTAGATGTATCACTACTCTTTATCTGGCTCACAAGATTAAATGACTAAGCCTTCTAAGAACATAAAAGATTATGTCTCAAGAAACGAATCATATAGAGAGGTCTTACTGCTGTATATTGTGGCTTGGCATGAGCAATAACTTTTCCCTCACCATTAGAAACAGTAACAACTTGCCGAGCACACTGTGCTTCGCCACCAAGAACCATCTTTATACCACCAACAACCATATAATCATAACAAGCAAAAAGAGAAATTACAGAAACAGGTAAAAGAGAAAAGAGATCACAATCAGAACCTTTAGTATGTTTGGATCCATCCATGAACCCTTTTCAGATTTAAGGCATCCACCCAGATCAGAACATATACAAGAACCACCAAGGAACTCTGGCAACTCGCTGGAGAGACCCCAGAATGTATGCCCCAAAAAGGTGAGACTCTTATGACCAAATCCCACAAGAAGCAAGAGGCAAAGAACATACCTAAGTTCAATTACTTCCAACAGCTTACTTTGGTATTTGCTTCCAAGAACCTGAAAGAAGTTCGGATAAAAATTTTGAATAAGATCTTATTGAATCTCATAAAGAAATGCTTTATAACACAGAGGAAATTGCTTACATAAATTTTTGAAGTAGTCTTTGGATCAAGAAAGGATTTTACTGTGTTCCATAGCAACCTAAAACCGGGGCCAGCATTGATGATAAACATCCGGAATAGTGTCTGCAAAAACATCATTTACCATAGAGGGGCAACATCAATCAGGTGAATATTCTTTGCCAATCTATAAAACACGACAAAAAGGAAATAACATAATAAGAATCCACATACCTCAGGGTAGTTATCATTGTCAATTTTCTGCAACCTTTGAATTAGTTCTCTGGCTGTCTTGCTGAAATTTTTTAAACTCTACAAAACAAATACAACATGACGATAAAAAAAATGTATATTTTCTGGTTGAGTATTGTACTTTAAATAAAATAAATATTAACATACCACACCCTGAACATCAAGAATTGTTGTACTTGAATCTATGTGCTTTTTTGCAGCAATTGAGCAAGCTGGGAACTTGATTAAGAAGCTCCTCTCAAACTCCCTTACATGGTATCTAATGTATCGGTCCATGGTTGTAACCTGCATAAGCTTGTTGGGATCAACTTTTCCTAACCTTTCAATGTAAACGGGTCTTCCATCCTTGTCCACACCATGATAACCATGAGGATAGTACTGAAGTACTTCATTTAACTCAGAAAACTCGAAGTCCTGACAGAAGATCTTATTCAGTTAGATAGGAATCGACTTTAGCGAAAATGCCGAACATGGAGGTAACATTCAGAGGTTTTATGCAAGAGGAAAAGAGAACAATATCTACTGAAAAAAGCTTGTAGCTTAAGCTTAAAACAGAAGTTCACACATAAAGCAGACCCATCACTAAAAAATAGAAAACACTAAATATGCTCATAAGAATCTCTAAGATGAGTTTATAGAAGACCCTTTAAGATAAAACCAGAAAAGAATTGCTTGCTTACATCTAGAATAGTATCAGTGCCATATTCCTTTCTCCACTGGAGCATTTCTGCCCACATGTGCTTTGCTTTCTCAATATCAAACTTCCTTGCCTTCAGAAATCTGAAGTAATGTATAAACATTAGACATACAGATTTTTTTTTTTTGTAAAATGAATAAGGAAGCTAGAAGATTATAGCCTGAGCTAAGAGTAGTTGGGAATATTCAAAATGTAATAAAATAAAGAAGGATGAAGAAACTGCAATGACAAGATCATTATTATGGCATTGATATTGCAGCATTCTTCTAATTGTTACCAAGAATCAGTAAAGTGATGCAATCTACAATAATGAATGTAAATTGTCAGTTCACTGAAGAGATGCATAGCTATAAGATATTAATACTTTAAATTGGTTGTCGTATCCAAATCTGATATATATATATATATATATATATATATATATATATATATATATATATATATATATATATAAACGTGGCGACGTCGCCCCGTGTGGGAGAAGGAAAAGGCGATGTCGCTTCACCGAAATATATATATATATACATACATACATATATATATACGAGCGGTATACCGCTCGGTATACAGTATCGTACCATACCAAGCGAACGTCGAAACTCCGGTACGGTACGATATTTCAATCCTTGGTGAAAAGGTTATGGATGAAAGTTAATTAGTTGTCATTATTTTATCATAATACAACTATCATTTTCTAACACAATGAATAAATGTCAAGCTGTGTCGTACGTACTATGCATTCAAAATATTTTCATGCCACATTCATGCTATATAGCATCCTATTTTTTTTAAAGATCAAGGCATAAGCACATCCACATTGTATCATATCAGCATTCCGTATTTGGATCTGTGCTTCATATATATGTAGATAACAAAACAATTTCTTTCAACTACCAGAAGAAAGCAGAACAAATGGATTGTTAATTGTCACTGTTCAAGGGTGTTATTTTCTGTTAACTGATAAATCCTATCACCAACATTGATAACTAAGCATAAGCCATCCATTGTGGATTTAGCATATAAAAGAAGTTCAATTTACATGACAATATAAGGCGCCAACTGGTGACATGGATTCCAACTTCTGACATGAATTTCAGAAGAGAACAATCATAAAAAGGCCAAAATGTCAATTAGCAAAATATAACTCTCTTTAGGACTTATTCCCCAACATACCTAAGGCCCTAAACCCCCAACGTCATTATAATTTAAGCTTTTCATACCTTTTATAAGGTTATGTATTGACCAGAATGTGAAGTTGACAAGACTTCACAGGAAATAACTCAAAACTTCACAACAGATTGGCATCTTGATTAGATAGCTGGTACCTGCCGATGTCGAATTTAGATTAAATAAAATTAGACTGGTAGTTGTCATTTGGTACATGATAGGACTGAACATTTGGTGGCAACTTTGGCTCCTACCGCAAAGAAGCAACTTCCATATTTCCCCAAACATGCAAAAAATTCCAAGAACAGGCGAAAGAGAAATTTGGCTAAGATTAATGTTCGTTAAAGAGGAATAAATTATGAATCAGCCACAAAAACGCCAATATTTATATCCAGATAAATACCCTGAAATATAGCATGTTGGACTTTCAAGGCTACTCTGCAATATTGCTGGTTCTCTTTTAAAAAACTTAGGTAGTTTAAAGCAAGAAATCATCAACTTCTTATACATTCTGAAGTATAATATTATAATTAGTCCTTCGAAAATAAACACAAATATAGTTATATTTTTGGCTTGCAAGAGGTTCCATAAAAAGCTAGTAAGTCACACATCCTCATGACTTGAATCCCCTCAAAACCATGACATGGAATGTATCATAATATGGCAAGAAAACGGGTCAAATTTATATCTCATGAGAAGCACATTAAACCATCAATAATAGTAGCACCTTTTCTGCTAGAATCTTCCCTGCACCTGGATGAAGAAAAAGAAAATAATTGGAGTCTGCCTTCATATGATGAAAGAAAATGTGTTTGGACCTAAGCATTCGATTGTTATATATGATCAGTTCAATTTTCATGCATGTCCTTTTCTGGTGTGTGTGATTCAGAAGAAACTCTTATATTGTCAAACTTACGATGATCAGCTTGTTGATTGGGACCCTTAAGCAGAGTCATAACAACATGGGAACAAGACAGAAATATAATAAAATCACTCACCTCAGCATCATGTGATAATCATCATGCTTTGCAGGCAGCAACTCCTCAAGAATTAGGGATTGTCGGAATGCATCGACATCCTGTAATTCCTCTATATCCCTAATATCCTCAATCGAAATGGAATTGACTCGAGTGTTGCTTTTCCTCCTGTTCTTTTTCCTTAGAGAATGCTTGAACTTAGTGGACGCATTTATTGCCTTTTTCTTCAAGGATGCAATTCTTGTCCTCCTTTCATCTTCTGAGTTCTCAAAATCTGACTTTCGTTCTTTATGATCCTCATGACTCGAAAGCCCCTCAAAACCTACAATACATTAAAGAAGTCACTAATGAACATTTAACACCTCAGACGTCATGATATCAGATATTGCGCAAGGGTCAACAAAATGTAATGAATAAGAAGAAAATCCTTCAAAGAAGAGACAACTGTAGGACTTCCAAGTAGGTCGCTCATGCCTCAAAACTATCACCAGTAGTTTCACTGTAGAATTTAGAGTTTGCAGATAAGACAAATTTACAATAATTCATGTATAACTTCACCAAGTCCTATGTCATTAATTTACCAGCATCTGAACCACTTGTGACGATGTAAAGTCCAAATAAATGTTAACACTGGTGGTAGTGACCAAATAACGCCCTTTTTTATTGGAAAAAAGGACTTCTTTCACTGTGAGCTCCCAAGGTATCAGAACTAAAATACAGATAAATCCAGATATATAAACAGAATAAGTCATAACTAAAAGGAACTGAAAATAAACATCTGAACCTTATCAATCAATGAAATCAACCAAGAAAGCAAGTAAACCAGTTAACATTTTTAATGCAATGATATACTGATGGTTTGTCAATTGCTACAAAAACTTGAACCTTTTCTTGAAGATGAATCATGAGGTGCAAAATTTTAAATAAAACAGTACCCAGGCCTCTTTAAGTGGGCTTTTAGTCACAAAATGCTAAAATACTGCCAAAAGTTTAACCCAAAGACTAATAAGCTGATGTTGGAGCAAAAGAATAATAGATCTTTAACAAACTTATCACTCAATAAAACTACTTGTACCAAATGCAAACTGAGACAGAAAATGATGGAAGGAAAGAAGACACTGTCACAAACGGAAAAGAAATTTCCCGATCTTTCGCAGTTACAGTTTTACAGAACACTCAGGTTAATCAGATAGGATATTGATAGATTTAAAGTTTGAGAAAATAAGATGTAGTTTCAGCTTTCTTAATCCAGTAATTGGTCAATGGACTAGATTAGAGTATCATAATCCATGTAGGAACTTAAGATGAAGAAGTTCGATAGTCTCATGTGTGTTTGCTTGTAATTAGATCTTTTATTTCCTGCAATTAAGAATGCAAACTAAAAGCATTGATTTAGTTATGGATAAATCAGATTTTATGCAGTCTTTCATCTAGTTTGACCTGTTCACTGACAATGAACTGTAAGGGTAAGATCAGGAAATATGGAGTTCGTTACTCATAAAAAAGACAAAAACTGACACTTGTCCTTCCCTGTTTGCATCTATCTCATTACAACATTAATTCCTGCTCTGGAACTTTGGGAGTGTTGGGAAGAACTCTAATAAAACCTGCCCGAAAGATAAATTCACTTTATACTTTTGCATTGTGCGTCTTCAAATAAAATAGAAAAGAAAACCTTTTGTTACCATATCGTAAAAGAAAGATTATCAATGACTGTGTTACTAGGTTAATGTATAAAATAATAGCCACTAACATGGATAAGATAATTTCAGTTGAAATCCTTTTATGTTTTCATTCTTTTTTCTATTCTATATCCTGTTATTGGATTCAGGAATATTTCATTTTCATGCATAAGTAAAGGAATTATGTCCAACAAATGCACATACATAATATCACTGTGGCTAAAAGATTGAGCTTCTGTTCTCTCTGTTTCAACCGTGCAATGGATTGAGAGATGTTGGACCCTTCATGCAAGAGGCCACTTTATTTCTGGGTAAAAGATGTCATTGTCATGCCTGACCAGCTTCAACCCCGGACTTGTTTGTTTATTTGCATCTGGTCAATAATAAATCATCATGCAGAGTCTTTTATATTTTGGATTGATCGACATCAATATCTAATGACAATTTGTTCAGAAATATTATATATACATTATGTCCAGAAACATGGGTGAATCTAACATTGTTTAACCTGCAACTGACACCGAGGATTAGTTTACATTGAACAGTCATCAGTTTTTAATATATACCATAGGATCAGAAACCACTTGCAGCCGCGCAAAACAGCAAACCACTGATTCACAGATTAAGAATTCTCCAATCGATCATCGATATACCGAACGGAACAAGAATACAAACCCATCATGTCATATGTTTTCAACAAATAGATGAGGATTAACATCGCGTCTTGATACGCCAAGTTCTCAGATCAGTCGCTGGTATATAGAATGGAACAAAATAAAAACTCAAAATGCCAATGCAAGAAACAAGATGTTGGTTCATCAAAAAGGAAAGACGAACGATCCAATATCTCACGCAAAAGCGAACGGGGGAAGAGTCCGTAGCGACTCACAGGGCCAAGCGAACCGATCGAAAGAGCCCGACATGGGATGCGCAATTTGATCGTCGGGATCGGGAGGACAAGCAAACACTGATGAGAATTGTATGCTACCTGAAACCACATTCCCATCAGAAACCCTATAGAACCGTAGGAGAGCCCAGAAGCGACCAGATTCTGATCAAAGTACCTCGAATAGATGGGCTCCGCGAAATGGATCGACTGGGGAGGCAACGCGAGACAGATGAGCGTGTTTGGAGTGGAAGGATCGTCGAGTGAGCTGTAACGAGACTGCAAGCAAGCTGCGAAAGGGATGGAGGGTTTCGTGGATGAGGAGGAGGAGGAGGAGGCAATGTATCGCCGGTTCCACTCGATTCCTCGGCGGAGATAACGCGGAATGGAGAAGGAAAAGGATCCCCAATTTCTTACATTGCTGTTAACCGAACGAGTGGAGCGGGGGTCTGTTCGCAGAAACAAGAAACTCATTTCCAAGTAGAGAGAGAGAGAGAGAGAGAGAGAGAGACTGCGCTGTGAGGTTCCCAGGTCGCTTTTCGCTCATTGCCACGTGGCGATGCCGGCTATCGGTAGACAAAGTCTGGAGTGGCGGCTCCTGACGTCGTGACAAGCAGGGGGCCACGAGAGGTCCACGGTGGGACCTGGAAGCGCTGGGATGCCGCTCGGGAGGGTGCGTCGTCGTCGGAGTCCCACGTGACATGACGGGTCACCTGCAAGTCTCGGACGGGTGGCCCAAAAGTTGAAGCCCGTCAGAGAACTTAGCCACTCACTCTCTGGTGGACTGGGATCCTCGAACACGTAGCAGCCCTTGGCACTTCGCAGAGCCTGCAATTTCCCCGGGTTGACCATGCATGATGGGATTAGTCTATCGATTCAAGTTGGGCAAGCGGCTTGGGGAGTCGCAGAGTAATGTGTGACCTGGGAGCACCAGGCAGCCGACGCCATCTCTGTGTCTCTGTGTGTTGTGGGGATGGTGATGGGCCCATATATTGGGCCGTGCGTTGGCTTTTGGCACTCGAGTCGGCATGGGAGTAGTTGGAATCTCCACTCAACCGTAACTCGGGTCACAACGAACCCATCCGATGTGTCATTACATGACGGTATGATACAATTATCATTATAGGACTGGCACTTCCGGATTGGTTCTTTAGGTGAGCCAGAGATCATTTGCGAGACCCATCACCAATTAACAAGTGCATTATTAGGTGCTAAAGAGCAATAACTACTCATTTACGGATGTAATCAAATACCACTGACTGTCCCTTGTGTTTATTTAATGGTAAACTATCTTTCTCCTCTTCCGTAGCATGGCATACACCATTCGGAAAGCTTCCGGTCACGATTGGTAGCAAGCTATGCATCGGAGTCTCGGCGAATGCCGGTTAAAATGTCCAAATAGATCGATCACTGCGTGGTTATGCATCCTACCTACGTTATTATTGATTTCTAGCTCGTAAAGTGACTTGTTTCTGCTTTCTCAAAAAGACAAAGTGAATAATAATACTACACGACGATGGGAGAAGCTTGACCCGAGCGTGGGCCCTATAAAAGTGTTTGTCGTTCCATCAGAACCGGCAGCTGGATACGTCCCTCGATGTTCTACCACCAAACGTACGGTACACGCTGTGGAGGCTAGTATTAAATAGTGCATCCGAGGCTCGGTGGTGGATTCTCCTTCTCTCGGTAGGTATGTTTTGTTTGCTCTACTTTGTGATAGGGCAGCCAATACCGCGGTCCTAATAAGATACTTTGAAGTGAAAGAAGGAGGACATGGGGCATAATTAAAGGCCTCCGAGTGGAATCGATGATGATAAGATGCGGCCTCATTTAAGAAAGCTTCCCTTTATCTCCCAACTCCGGCAGTCGATTATGGTGGAATGTAGAAGAGCACATTCATTGATTAGGTCATGTGTATGCAATCCCGAAAAGCCAACACGGCTTTTAAAGCCACAAAGCATCGTGCTATACGGCTCTTGTTTATATTATGCCAGTGAAAATGGAGTTCTTGATGCTTGGATGAGTAGGTTTTGCGTCCAAAAACTCGTGGGCTGTTCGGGTGGGTGGCATAGTTACGGCAGCAGATGCATGTAGGTGACGTGGTCCTTCTATCTTTCCACTCGAAAGATGCCGTCCGGCAGATTCCCATGCCTCAGGTGCCGGTGCACTAACAGGATAAATAAATGTACGAATCCTATCTCATCGATGAGCTTAAGTTTTTAGATGGAATGAGAATCTGCAGTGGAGTGCGCATTAATAAGATAGATTTGTAAGGATATATAGTGCTTAAATGTTTTTAATGGAAGGACAGCAGTCGGTCGTACCATAACAAATCACATTTAGATTATTATTCGCTAGATTCGATACTTACATTGACCGGTCACTAATTCTACTGGACGTGGCCCACGTACCACACGACACTAATGCTACCTTAATAGTTGAATGCAGAGGAGGAAACATGAAAAGCGTTGAACATTAAATACAGGAGCAACGCATTTCTTATCTATCAGAAAAAGGACCACCGTCACGACGAATCTAAGGGTTAAAATAATCTTTGTTAGTTTCTTTTGGATAGCTTGCCAATAACTTGAACTTTGCCATTCGTATATAGTAAGTAATCTACGTCTAGCATCCTTAGAGCCTCTTTGATTCGAGAGAAAGATAAAAAAAAGTGGACTAAGTAAAGTCAAACTGCTACTCACTTTTGTTTGGAAATTAATATTTAGATGTTCCATAAATTTTAATTCGAAGTCCATATTATCCGACTAGAAATTGTTTTCCGAGACGAGAAACCAAAGAGAGGACGATAAGGATAGGAGTCGATTAACTTGAGATGGATAGACACCGCTGATGACAGCAGATGATATAGAGTCGAAACATGTGGCAGTAGAAACTATCGCTGACGGTGGGAGGGAGTGGGAGGAAGGGCAAGAAGAAAAAGAAAAGAGAGGAGATCAGGTTGGAGCTGGAACGCGGATGCTGTCAGTCATGAAAACTAAATATAAACAAGAACGTGGACACAGTTTCTTCCTTGAGCATACGATTCATTCTTTCCGCAGGCATCGTGCAACACCTAAACACAGCTTACAAAAATCTAGCAAGAGAAGATGCCTGGGACACCCAAGGGAATATGAAATAAGGCTCGGTTGTCTTTAAGATCAAGTAAAGCTGGATAAGCAACCATGAAAACGGAGAGAAAACAAGGGAAAAGCATCAGCAATTAGTGGCTCCCCTGAGATAGAAAATCCTCTACTTCAAATCTCATTTACTCAGAATAGCATGCTAGTTCAACCAGATCAGTTTATTATGATATTTAATCCTTCTCTACATAGCATCCAAGGGATGATCGGTCATCCTAGAATTTCAACTTGATGAACAGGGGACAAAGGTATCGACCGAAACATGCATACACAACAGGGTCAAGTTGTGGAACGACAGAATTCTGAAACCAAGAGCGGGGAAGAACGACACGACAAAAAAGTGCACATACGTCGCACACCGCATTAATTAATTCAGCTATGCGTAGCCTCTTCCTCCGTCCTCCTTAATCCCATTCTCCTCCTCATCATCCAAATCTTTCGTGCAATAGTGCTGAAACCGATCTGCGACCGCTTGTGGGATCGACATTAGGACAGTGAAAGCCTGTAAATCGCCGATAACTGGCAGGAACAGACAATAGATCTCGCTCGCCAGAGGACCCATGTGAAGTGGCCTTCCTTCCCCGAAATCCAAGTCCTCCAACCCCAGCTTCGTCCATGGAGAGATGACCAAGCTTGATGACAGTTCCGGTTTCACCTTCCTCGCGTCCAGCAGATCAATCATGGACCTCACGTAGTCGTCGTTCAAGCGTTCCTTGGCCTCCTGCACCAATTTGACGGAATAATGTGGGTTCGACGCAATCAACTCCTCCGCAGAGGTCTCCGCGCATGCTAGAACAAAGCCGTTGCCATAGTAGCCGCTGGGGAGCTCCGGCTTTAACCTCTGACGCATGTTCATGGAAAAGAGGAGCTTGATATGGAGGGAGGCTGGAGGATCCAGTGACTTGATCCAGGCACGCCATACATGCGAAGCCAAGACTTCGAAGGAGGTGCATTTGAGCGAGGGAACACATTGCTGCTTGAGATGAAGGATGTGGGAGGTGGTGAAGGTCAGGGAAACAGGGACCAACGGCTGCGACAGAAGGATCTGCGTGATGTAGTCGCTGTCAGGACCAACCTGGGGCAGAGGACGGCTGAACTCAGGATGGGAGAATGCAATCTGGGGTGGATCTCGAGGCTTCAAAATGTGGCGGCCGTGAAAGGGATTCGTGGGAAGGTTGGCATTAGGCTTGGACGTGATGAGGGCCCATGCATGGAGGAACTGTGCTGTCCCGATACCGTCGCAAAGGCAGTGGTTTATTGCAGTGCAGAGGATCATACCGCCACAGCTAAGATGAGTCATCTGACCACATCCATAGATAAACCAGTCAGTGATATAGATATAGTAGCTGCTACGCCCTCCTCCTGTCTAGCACCGACAGCTAAAATGTTAATTGAATATTGCGACTTTGAAACCAAAATCCATGAGCCAACAAATTAAGAACGCTGCGCTTTGAGAAAGGAAGATGCAATGATCGAGTCGTAAGAGGCAAATTTCTGTCTCAGTTCTTCGGAAAGCAACCGAAAACATTGCGGCAGGGGAAGACTAGAAGATAATTAGCACAGGAGAGGTGGATTCTCGACATCTTGTTCTTGATGAAGGCAACAGGATCTTTTGGTAAATCTCTCTCTCTCTCTCTCTCTCTCTCTCTCTCTCTCTCTCTCTCACACACACACACACACACATTCGTGAGCCTGAAACAAAAAGAAAGGAGAAATAATTGTAGTAAGAAAGAACCAGAGCATGATACTTGATGTAGCTGGTCGGAGTGGAGAAGATGTTATGGCAGAGCATAAACAGGGCCCAAAAGAGTGGGAAGGGAAGTCTAAGAGACAGGAATATGGCGGTCTCTGAAAAAGGAACTTGGTACAAGGTTCCATAACCCAATCCAACGCGAATCCTTGGCCACTTTAAGAGAGCATATTGACGATCGGGGCAGCAGTTGAGACAAACAGCCGACAATGTAGAGAAAATAGAAGCGGAATAAAGAGAAAAGAGAAGCGCAGGTACACCACTTTTGCCCATAACAATCTACTTTGGAGGGAAAATTAAGAAACGTCTCCAACAATATCACATGTTAATTTGTTAGATTGCCATTACTCTTCGAGCTCCACCCGCAACTACGGTCTCACACCTCCTTAGCGGATCATCCACGCATTGCAAGGGTACAAGACCGCCGCTGACGGCCAAGTTGCTGTATCAACAACCCTTTTAACTCATATTCGATCGACGGGGACTGGAAAAAGTTACGCTAAGTACTTATTTACCCTAAAATTGTACTTGTGACAAAACTTCCTGGTCTTGATTGTGTACATGGGACACATAATA